CGGTTGAAGCCGGTGTCGCGCGACGCGACGCCGCCGCCCTGCGTGCACTCGCGGGCGAAGTGCCCGGTCCTGTTGCACTTGTAGCACACGCTCGAACTCATTGCTGGAACAACATTGCCACATGATAAGCTCTCGAATCGTTCATACCTTAAAAGAATATTATAAAAACATTTTTTTTAAATATTAATGTTATAAAATTACTGCTTTAATGCTCTAACTAGCATTTTGCAATCCTATTAGAAATAAAGTCATTGGAAAAAACTACGTCACGTTAAAATTTAATAGAATAATCACGTTCCTTAACTAGAGTAGGAAAACTGAAGCTATACAACTGTTCAAACACGTTACGAAACACGTTTTCTATTATGCCTTGTTCAACTACCCAACTAAACATAATCAATTAGTAAAAGTTTGTTTTACGCGTATTGCGTATGTCGCACAACGAAAACGTAAAATGTATTACAAACGCTTGTGTAACGCACACGTGGAAAACGTATATTTTATAGTATGCAGTTGACGTCTTGAACCTCGGCGGTGATAACGCACGGGAACAAGATCACGGCGAGCTATGACTGATTGTTACCAATTGGTCCGTGTACCAACAAACGATAGGACATAAGAGGGGGAAATTTAAAGACGGAGATGCAAACCAATTGACGATGTTACGATGTTTTTACTTCACTGAATTTGTTCAATGAAACGTAATAAAATATACAGCTTATAATACAACTTGATCTATAAATAGCTAAATACTGTTTGGATTTAGATTTACAACATCACGCCCATAACCCAAAGGGGTGGGCAAAGACCATAGTCACATATTTAGCTTGATCTTAACACCTGTCTTGTTTTTTCTACAATCAGTTAATGCAGTTGGTTTTGGTTGTTTTTACTGCTATCCTTTTTGAGTATTTCATCAATACGTGCGGTATATTTTTCAAAAGTTTTTGTACTAAATCTCATACTAAAACAGTTGCTTATCAAAGACAATTTTGTGATTTTGCTTTGATAAATGATAAAATGTAAACATGTACATTTGCCTAGAATTTACATAGCACATAATGTAAAATTTACAATAAAATAATTTTACTAATCATTGTTACACTGATTACATAAGTAAAAGATAATGGTAACCATATTGTTTTGTTCAATAAATCTAATATAAGAGTTACTTTCATACAAATATGCAAGTTGAGAGTTGTTCAGAGCAACATGAAGTTATGAATAAACATTAAATGGTTTTAGTGAAAGTGTATGCAGAGAAAATAGGCAGTAACAATGACTTTTATTTCACACCTCGGTTCCACTGAGTTTAATCAATTACTATGATTTACTCTCAAAGTATTGTAAAAAGACATTGTAATCTTACTAACATTATAATGTTTATATGGATGGATGTTTGTTCATTTGTATATCCTAAATGGCTCAGCAGATCTCGCTCAAATCTGGCATAGATGAAGACAGTCTCGAAGGACACACAAGCTTTACCTGTAACTTAGTTCTGATGTCTAACTTTGTGAATGTTGGTGGTTTGTATATACTCAAATATCAAAATATTAACAAGGCTATGCTAAAACTTGCTTATAATAATTAAATACTTTAAAAAGTTGTAACAATAAACAAATATTAAATAACAATATTTAACTTTGAAAGTATAACAAGAGGGCTATGGTGTAGCACAATTGCTTTCTAAAACATAACCACTTCACATTCTAGGTCAGTGGGTTGATTGCACTGAAAGTCTTGATACTGGTTTTGCTACCAATATGCAGGTGTAACGAACTTTTGTCATACATAACCTTGTTGCAGTGTCTCTGCACAGGTCTTTTGAAGGTCAGATAACTCAAATTATCACTATGGTGATATACATTTGATATTATTTTCTATTTATATTACAATGAGTTATGTAATCAATTTTAAAACTCTTATTTTTTGTCGTAAAATTCTACTAAATGTATATATTAAAATTAAAGTATTTGAAGTAGGTAATTCAATGGAATGTTGTGACATAAACAAAATCAAGGAAAATGGGAGTATATGATGGTTTACCTAAAAGTTTGGTTAATATCTTGGCCGCTACTTCATGACTTGGAGGATCTCCACTTGTGCATAATACAGTCAACCTATAACTGATTTTTAGTCATTAGGTAAAAAAATACCCAATGAACCTTTATCACATACAGATGTGTTAGCATTATCAATAAAAATTAAAAATACTAATTTGAGTAAATTTTAGGTTTTACTAAATCAATGTAAAATTTAATTTTATGAAATCACCCAATTAAATACACATGGTGTAGATAACAACTCCAAAAAAAGAGTAGTTGGAGAAACAAGATATCATTCTAAAAATCTCATTATTCATAAGCCCTTTCCACATTTATAGATCATTGACATTGCTTTTTGATGAGTTTGGCCGAATATCCGATTTTTTTATGTTTTTTTTTTCTTGCCTACTTCAATATTCTGTCAATAAACATTCACAATACATTAATTAGTGAAGTAAAGGTTGTGTAGTTCTTTAGTAAAAATCTTCAATACAACTAGTCATTTAGAAGCACATAAGACAATGATAATTTAAACTTTCCCACACGAAGTTCACGGTGGTGATGCGTCACTTGTACATAGCTATGTGCACAGAAAAGAAACGTTGACTTCACGCCACGACCGACATAAAATCTTGCAACTGAAGTGCGATAAAAAGATTTCAATTATCTTTTTTACCATCTTAAACTGTAGTTTAATGCTGAAGCAACACGTTTCACAATTATTCATCTTCGATATGTGTGTCACAACGATTTAAAACCACTGTCAAACTAACCATGTTCATCAAACAACCTAAGCTCATGAACGAGTAAAATTAAAACTGGTTAATTTTCAATGAAACTGCGTTAAAACACTTCATGATCAAACTTCGCATTGAAAACGTTGGTAAAGTAAATACGCGGTATAGTTTTCGAACCACGTGTAGAAGCACCGGTAGCGCGGTTTTTAGAGATAGTTATGGAGACTTTCACTTACCTATTAGTTATGAAACTTCTTAAGCACTTAAAACACTATTACTAGGATCGTTACACGACCAACAATTGAATTTTAATTTCGAAAAAGCTATTAAATTACGACGCTAAGTTTGCAAGGAAGCCAGCCACCATCGCTACAAATTCGTAAAAGACATTTTAAGCATAGACAAAACAATAAAAAATAAAACTCTGGAACCGCTATTTGGATTGCCTATTAAAAAAATTGATTATACTTCGAAAATTAGGCATAATAAACTTTTTGCAACAGCTACATCTAGAAATTGTTTATAATATAGTGTATTCTAAACAATCTTATGGTTTAATGAACTATTCAAATAATGTATAGTACAGTAAACAGCAGTTTCAGATGCTGAAATAGTTTAACCACAACGATTACAGTATTTTTGATTTTCATACATTGTTGATTCTTTTTTGTTTTTTTTTTAGAAAACCCTCTCGAGTCAGTGAAAGTAAAGAAAATTCTCAGAACTGTGAAAGTTTTATTTAGAATTTTTGTGAGTTATAATTTCTGTGCGGGATTGTCAGGCGATTGCGGGATGCGCAAGTGGCGCCAAAGAACTTCTTGGTCAGATGATACCACTGTCACATGTCACCCAATGTCACTGTCTTACTACAACTAGCCATTGCCATTTATTGCCAAATTAATGATCTACAGATCAGCTCACTGTTCTCATGGGCGAAGTAGATCAGTGAACTATCCTCAGATTACATCAACTAGTACCTGCGTACAAGTATGATTTACTAAGTTACAAGTCACCGAGTACTTCGCGAATGCGGAAAACGGAGGACTGCATTTTGTGGAATGTGTTTTGAGAAGGCCTATGTACAACAGTAGGCAGAGAAAAACCGATGATGATAATGGTGAGTACTTTGCGGGGCACAGTTATTAGATATCGCTCTGAGCCATGAACTAGTAAATTAGTGGTTGAACCGCAGCTCAACACCCCAATACGCTATGTGAGCTGACAAGCTGATTCTTTGGACTGATTTACGCACATCTAGAAAATTTGACATTTGGCATTGAATTTGACAATGTGTTATATTCAGTGTACATTCGGCCAGTACAATCG